TATTAACTTTCTCATTTTTTTTCTCCCCTGAAAAACAGTGGGCCTAGACTATGAGAGGGGGAGCTTTCTGACCTGTTGCCCTACTACTTCTTTTACAGACAAAGAGATGAAGGTCCAGAGAAAGGACATAGTTGGCTCAGATATGAAGCTATTTATGGCAGAGTCATTCTGGAACTACTTTTTTTTTTTCCTCTCTCTCTCTTTTAGTACTGGGGATTGAAACCCGGGGTGTTTTACCACTGAGCCACATCCCCAGTCCTTTCTATTTTTTATTTCAAGACAGGGTCTTGCTAAGTTGCCAAGGTTGACCTTGAACTTATGATCCTCCTGCCTCAGCTTCCCAAGTTTTTTTTTTTTTTGTACCAGAGAATGAACTGAGGGGCACTCAACCACTGAGCCACATCCCCAGCCCTATTTTTGTGTTTTATTTAGAGACAGGATCTCATCAAGTTGCTTAGCACCTTGCCATTGCTGGGGCTTACTTTGAACTTACAGTTCTCCTCGCGGCCCTGAAACTACTTCTTTTTTTTTTTTTTTTTGGCGCGGGGGGGGGGGGGGGGGTGCTGGGAATTGAACCCAGGGCTTTGTGCATGCAAGGCAAGCACTCTACCAACTGAGCTACATCCCCAGACCTCCTGAAACTTCTTGATCTCCTCTTTCCCCTGCATTTGGAAACAAAGGACCTTATAATATATTAATTTATATATAATAAACATACTCATGTGTATATATGTATTTATATGTACATAAAATGCATTTATGCAGTGCAATGTGAGATACTAGAACAGAAAAAAAGACATTAGTGAAAAAAAACAACAGTGAAATCCTAATGAAATTTCTTTCTTTTTTTTTTTTTTTTTTTTTAATGGTACTGAATATTGAACTCAGAGACATTTGACCACTAAGCTACAACCCCTGGCCCTTCTAATTTTTTACTTTGAGACAGGGTTTCATTACGTTGCTTAGGCTAGGCTTGATCTTGCAATCCTCCTGCCTCGGTCTCCTGGGTAGAAGTGAACTGAAGAGTAGTAATGCATGAATATTGGTTTCTTAGTGTTTTTTGTTTGTTTGTTTGTTTGTTTACTGGGATTTAATAGGAGAACTTTACCACTGAACTACATTCTTAGGTCTTTTTATTTTTTATTTTGAGACAAGGTCTTACTAAATTGCTGAGGCTGGCCTTGAATTTGTGATCCTTTTGCCTCAGTTTCTGGGATTACAGGTGTGTACCACTGTTCTGGGTAAAGCCACTAATTTTAAAAAATGGTAACAAAGGTATATCAAGGGGCTGGGAATGTGGCTCAGTGGCAGAGCACTTGCCTCACAAGTATGAGGCACTAGGTTTGATCCTCAGCACCACATGATGGACACAATACCTTTATTTTATTTATTTATAATAAAATAAAGGTATTGTGTCCATCTACAACTAAAAAAAATTTAAAAAAGAAAAAAGTTCTATCCAAACAAGCTCAAACAACACATAAGTGTTTAATAAAACAACAAAAAGAATTGAAGCCTTTCCTTTCTGCCTTGTGATTCTGCTTTTAAATTCTAAGCACATTTAATAACTCAGTGTGTATCTCTTTCTAGGTATGTTCTTTCATGTTTATTTAAACACACATACACACACAAATTCTAATTTCACCCTTCAATCATATGAAGTTGACACTACAATCAAATGAGGAAACTGAGGCTTGGCCTTAACTGAGGTTAAGTCAAATCCATGCTCTTCCCAGGGCCCAATAATTCTCAGTGAGTAGGCAAGTGGGAGCCTGCCTTGTAGGCCCCCAAGTCATGCACTCAGGAAAGGACTGCATTGCATCTGCCTGGAGGACAGGGACCTCTGGATGGCACCCACAGACTAGCACAGCCCTCCTCCTTCCCTCTATCCCTGCTGGCCATGAAGGCACTGCTGGCCATGACCAGGATTGTTATAGAAAGTAACGAGTATGATTTTGGACATGTTTCATGTTGCCATTGGTGAAGAATGGGAAGCCAGGGGGTTGTTTTCTGTAAATATCAGGAAACATAGGGGTGTGGAATTTCATAATGTGTTACAACAAGCCCATCCTGATGGGCCCACTTTTTGGGTCTTCAGGGCTGAGGATTCCAAACAAAATACATTCAGTTTTCTCTCTCAAAGCAATGTGTTCCACTTGCCAGGAATGGAATTTTCACACATTTAAGGTCAAAATGAAATTTCTGGGAGGGATCTCAGTGAATCATAAAGCCAGTCACCACTTGCAGGGGCTCTGAATAGGAGGAAATTGGAACAACAGTATGCTGAGTTTTTCACCATTGGCCCATGGGCAGTTCAGGATATTAAGCCCTGTGTGACCTTCCCAACAGAAAATCCACCTTTGGGTCCATTAGCAGAGTGGCACTATGAATAATTCCCTGGCAAAACAAATGGTGTTATCCTTTAAAAGGGAGGAAACCAGCCCCTGTATCATTAGTCCCTGCTCATGCCAAGCACCCACGTGCTCTCCCTGAACCTTTGCACCACTCTTACCCTCCTTCCCACCCCACCCCACCCCGCCCCCGCTTTATAGTGAAAGAAACTGAGCCCAGAGAATAGAGGTGTCTTGTCCAAAAGTCAAATTCCAAACTCAGCTGAGAAAGGATTCCAACCCCAATCCTTTGAATTTGATTCCAAAGCAGGTGTTTGTTCCAAATGTTTCAAAGTAATTTTGCAAACAAACTATACATTTTAATCTCCTAAGTTAAAAAATAAATAAATAAATCGCTTTCGCAGCATATGCTATTCCCCACACTGTGGTTTATATTCTGAGACCAGATGGTAAAACAAAGCGCAACAACCATCCCTTCCAACATTCACACAAGTTCTGGTCACACTTTTCTACACTCAAAGGGGATCTAAATAAATTCAAAGTGATGTCCAAGGTACAGATTCCACATTTCAAGTGTGGTATGTGTTTACTTTGAACCTAAATTTCTCTAATATTTGCCCCTTTCTCTCTTTAGTGAATAATCACGATATTGACTAAGAAAACACTTATGTTTTCCTTTCCAATACTTTATTATGAAAAATTTAAAACAGACAAATTAAAAGACTTGTCTAGGAGATACTCACATGTATACCACCTAGATCCTTCCATTAGCATTTTACTGTATTATTTAATTTTTTTATTGTTTACAACATGTGCCAGGGATTTTGCATGGATTATCTCAATCCTTTAAAAAAAATTTCTTCGAAGCTGGTTACTATTATTGCTCCCTTTTAATGCATAAGGAAATTGAAGCTTCAAAATGTAGAATGGCAGGCAGGTGTTTACAGAGCCGCTATCCACCAAACCGCTGCTCCAGTTATATTCACAAAGATGGATGCCAACTTGAGTTGCACTGAATGGAGTTTGATTAGTTTATTTAATGTTGAAGATTTGTTTTCTGAATCAGAGGAATTTCCAGACACAAAATTCAGCACTCTAAAATTCACTCTTTTGTTTTTTTTTTTTTTTTGAGTACTGGGGCTGAAACCCAGAGCCTCACACTGCCAAGAAAGCGCTCTACCACTGACACATGCCTAGCCCTAAAACTCATTCTTCTGTGGGGTGAGTGCTACTGGCATCCACTAGGTAGAAGTCAGGAATGCTGATAAACATCTTACAATACAGAAAAACAAAGAATTATCTGGCTCAAATATCATAGTGCTAAGGGTGAAAAACCCTGACTTAGAGAGACTATCAGGATTCTTTCTTGGAAGTTACAGAGAAAGGGAAACCTGAAAGGGAAAGAATGTTCCACAACAGAAGACAGCATCCCAGGGGCGATGTGGGTTCAGGGAGAAAAGATTTACCTGGGTGATTATGGAAGTTGTTAGGCAAAACTATGGGTAGAGAAAGTTCCAATTTACTGAGACTCCTATTCCAAAAGTTAATTTGTAAATTGCTTCTTTGGCATGTCTTGGATCCCCTGCCCTCCTCCCTCCAGAAGGAGGCCATATGGTGAAAATGAAAGGCTCTGAAGACAAAAATCAGAAGACCTGGGTTGAATCCCAACTTTGCAAGGAACAGAATCACTTTTCTAGAGCCTCATCTTCCATTTTTGAGAAACAGGGATGGAAATGCTACTCTTTCTATCACTGAAAAGAAAACAGGTGTATGATCAGGTGTGGCTCTGCAGAGGCTCAAATGTGACTCTGAGAAGTTAAAAATAAGTGCATATTATATCTGAGTAGTTGAAAATAAGTGCATACTATATGCATCCAATTTTTGTTTAATATGAATATCTGCTGAGAAAATAGTCTAGAAGTAGTCACATAAAATGGCTAGCACATATTGTCCTTCAGCAGGGAGAAACACAAAACACAATAAAAATCAAATAGATTGCCTTTGGTATTAGGAAATATATTGCAATGCTTCAAAATTATCCTTTTAACTGGGCACATTGGCACACATTGTAATCTCAGTGACTTGGGGAGCTGAGGCAGGAGGATTACAAGTTTGAGGCTAGCCTGGGCATCTAAGGGAGGCCCTGTGTCCAAATAAAAAATAAAAAAGGAGATGAGGGTATATCTCAGGGGTTAAGCCCCTCTGGGTTCAATCCCTGGTATCCGCCCCAAAAAAATTATCTTCTTCAATAGATACTTAATATATGAGGAAATACTTAGGATGTAATTTAAGCAAAAATGAAAGCAGGATACAAATTGTACAGACCTATGCTGTCCACTTCAGTAGCCACCAGCCCTCTGTTGCTACTGAGCACCTGGAAAGTGGCTAGTTCCACATTTGAGATGTGCAAACATGAAAAAAAAAAATCTCATTAATATTTTCATATTGGGCTGGGGATATAGCTCAGTTGGTAGAGTGCTTGCCTTGCATGCACAAGGCCCTGGGTTCAATTCCCAGGACCACAAAAAATACATATATATATATATGTATATATATATATATATTTTAATATTGGTTATATGATAAAATGACAATATTATGGATATGTTGGATTAAATAAAATATATTATTGAAGTTAATTTTACTTACTTGTTTTAATTTTTCTTTAATGAGGCTACTGAAACATTTTAATTTACATATGTGGCTCACATCTGTCGTTTACATACTTCTTTTGAACAGTTTGATATAGATAATATAAACTTGGCTGTAAAATGAAAAAAAAAATGCAGATTAGAAAAAAAAAATTGAGTGGAAAAATACCAAGCCTATCACTGGGATTGAATCTAAATGATAAGATTATGGGTGACTTTTTCAGCTTATTGGCAATTTTCTGGGCTCTCCAAATGTTCGACGGGATGCAGATATCCCTGTGATAATCTGGAAAAGGGAGAAGGAGGCTAAATCTCTTCTATCCCCAGGGCTACAATTGTTCTTTCTTCAAATGATTATATTGTATAGGAACTGTTATTTTGGGAATTAAAAAGTGATATTCCAGCTAGCCAAACTCTCCTTAGGGCCTGGGTGTAAAGAGGAAGGTCCCATACCCTGATCCCTCTCCCCGTGGGGACAGGGGCATCTTTCTTGGGTCTTCCCCACAAAAGGGGAACCAAGGGTGTGAAGAGTGTGAGAAGCAGTCGTGGATGCTCAGAACATCCCTGGGCAAGGAAGTGAGTCACCCAGTGAGTCAGCCCCCGCCCTGCTTTCATTTTTGGTATTGTTCCATGTGGCTGCTACTCTTTGTCACCCTTTTCCCCTGAACCACACATGCAGCCTTGAGGTGGTTAAAGCAGATCTGGCTGAGAAGGGCTTCTGGGGGCCGAGCACTAAAATGGTCATTCACGGAGCTGCCCGTGGTATCACGGGCTCTCCTTTCAAACCTCAGGTCAACCCAGTCAATATGGCATTATTGATCTTTTTTCTTGCAAATCACCTCAAATTGTACTCATGCTGTGAAAGTAATAAATGACATGTTAGTACAGAAAAACGCATAGCTTATAAGGTATAACTCAACCTTTAAAACCAGAATAGCTAAGTGAAAAGTCAGTACAGATTCTTATTTTTACTATTAAAAAAATAAAATCAAAAGTACACATTGGGAATTGAACTGCTTTTTTCTTCTTTCTAGAAATGTGACATACAAGTTTTCTGGTAGCAGTCTACAAAATATTATACTGAACTAAAGCTGACAGAGGACCAGTAAAACTGTCTACTGCCTCCTACTCATGCTGAGCTAGAGCAGTGAACACCATTTTGGTAGGAGAGATTCTGACAAGAAGAAGAAATTGTAGAGTTCCTCCCTACCCCAACAGAAAATCCAACCAACTGGCTTACACAGAAAGGGTCTTAAGCAAACGTGTGACCACACATCTGATGTGCTATGACAGCAGGGTAGCTTCAGCCTATTTCGAGCACTCGACAGACATTCATGGGTGCCAGTAAAACAGGTGCATCAATGTGAAAAGCATTTTTGCCTTCATAGCACTAAGGACTAAAAAACACACTGGATATAATACTTGGATCTTTAGGTAGATAATCATGGAAGTTTCAAAATCATATCCACTAAATTAGCCTGAGTTTTCATCCATAATTTTTTAAAAAAATAATCCTTGAAAGAGACTTCTAGAACAGTGGAACTCTATCAGGACCAAAAGAAGACAGTGTTACAAGGACTGCATATGTTAAGGCTGGGAGTCGATTTTCACACATATCTTTTAGGTAAAGGACATCTTTCTTGGTTGATCCCTACAGCCAACACAAGCTGTGATCAGAGGAGATACAGAAATCTTAGGACAGGCAGCTGGCTCCAGTAACTCCCTAGATAAATACTCCCAAACAAAAACCCCATTGAGGGCAAAGGACTGAAACTCTGATCCCTATAAAAAAGAGTGGTGAGTGCACAAAGGACTCACGCAAAGACTGCTGGGAAGAAGAGGCTTCGTGGTAGTGGTTATACATACCAACATGTACTGGGGAAGGGCCCCCAGGTGGAATGGCTACCTGGGCCTGATCCAAAGGAGTATGACTCAAGCACCTGAGAATTGACTAGTTGAGGAAGGGAGGAATAGTAATACAAGATGGCATTTTAGGATAAATGGGTCCAGAAGGGTCACAGGGCTTCAGAACAGAATCTTTCCAAGAGGTGCTCCTTTTGGTCATAATTAGCTAAAGTCTCTTGGAGTCTATTGGACTGGGGACATCCAGAATGATTCCATTCATTGCTTGGAGAATGGGACCTAGTGCCACAGACTGTTTTGGGAAGCTGATGTAGATAATTTATATAGCCAAGTCATCACTAAAACACTGCTTAACTCCAGTCCCCAGCCTTTCATTCCTGCTCTGTAATCCAGAAACATTTCTTAAAAAGCCAGAAAATTTGCAAATGTGAGTAGCATGTCAAATATGTCACCAGTCACTTCATCTTTATGATGCTGTAATGTAGTTGTGAAAGGCACCATGTTAAATCCAAGGATCCATTCCAGCAGCTGTTCTTCAGTATATTTTTCCACCAGAGTAATACATTCATTAAAAATGGGTGTGTAGACAAGTTTATTCTCTTCTATGTCTTCAAATTTCTGATAGTACTTTTTCATGAAATTTCTTTGCAATAAGTGGAATTTATCATTCATGACAATGTCTTCTAAATGTCCAACCACAGCATGAAATTGTGCATCAGATGCAGAGGAGAAGGACAGCATTAAACTCTCTCTAGTGTGGCCATTGCCATGTGCCCCATCCCCTGCACCCCAGGCCCAGCCTGAATCCCACATGCATCAAGGGCATCTGGGAGACCTCACTGCCTGGCCATCTCAGCACCTCCACACCAGCCGGGCCTCCTCATCCAGCCAGACCACTCTGCTGCCTCAGGTCCAAGTGTCAACATAGGCATTATTGGCAGTCCTGTTTGACAGAGGAAGAAACTAAGAGGTTAAATACTTGGCTGAGGGCTCTCCACCAGGAAGAGGCTTAGGTGAGATTCAAATTCAGGCCTGACTCCTAAGCCTGAGTTCCAAAATGTGGCTGGACTCCACTGCTCTGCTTTCCACAGAGTTCTAATCTAGGTCTGCCCTGGACAAGATGGGGAACTAATTAACTGTTGCCTTCCAAGTTTCCATCACCCTATATAGTTCATTCATCCAGGGCCCTCATATGGTCTGCTTGCTCTCTTAACAAAACATGTCTCTGGGAAAGAGTTTAAGAGTGATATCTGGGACTGAGATAGAGCCTAGCATATATGAAACCCTGGGTTTAATTCCCAGCACTTAAAAAAAAAAAGTCTGATATCAGACACTGCAATATGAAATTAGGTCCACCCTTACTCCTTCAAGAAGAGTTCTATTCCAGTTGTGGGGTAAAAGACTAAAAGGAGGGCCCTGGGGTTGTGGCTCAGCGGTAGAACGCTCACTGAGCATGTGCAAGGCACTGGGTTCAATCCTCAGTACCACATTAAAAAAAAAGTAAATAAATAAAATAAAGGTATTGTGTCCAACTACAACTAAAAAAATAAAATAAAGTTAAAAAAAAAAAAAAGATTAGGCGGTTGCACTGACACCGGTACATAAGCGCAGACCGGCGTGTCCTTGGGCTAGAGAGTGGGACGTCCGGCTTCTGATCGGGATTCTTCTTTGCTTCTTTGCGCTAGCCACGAAAGAACGAATTAAAAATGGGTGATGTTGAGAAAGGCAAGCAGATTTTTGTTCAGAAGTGTGCCCAATGCCACACAGTGGAAAAGGGAGGCAAGCCCAAGACTGGGCCAAATCTCCACGGACTGTTTGGGCGGAAGACAGGTCAGGCTACTGGATTCTCTTATACAGATGCCAACAAGAACAAAGGCATCACCTGGGGAGAGGATACACTGATGGAGTATTTGGAGAATCCCAAAAAGTACATCCCTGGAACAAAAATGATCTTCGCTGGCATTAAGAAGAAGGGAGAAAGGGCAGATCTAATAGCTTACCTCAAAAAAGCCACTAATGAGTAATAGCTACTGCCTTATTTATTACCAAACAGAAATGTCTCTTGGCTTTTTTATGTGCACCATAATTTTTTTTTAAACTCTTTTTTTTTTTAAAGAGAGAGAGAGAGAGAGAGAGAGAGAGAGAATTTTAATATTTATTTTTTTTTTAGGTTTCTTTTTGGCGGACACAACATTTGTTTGTATGTGGTGCTGAGGATCGAACCCGGGCTGCACGCATGCCAGGCGAGCGCGCTACCGCTTGAGCCATATCCCCAGCCCAATGTGCACCATAATTTAATTGATGTGATACACCAGAAATCAGATATTGAATGACTGACAAAATTATTTTTGTTGGACAATCCTGATTTAAGAAAAACTTACTTGTAGTTAAATTAATATTTTGGTTATATTCCCACTTCAGTAAATTCTATCACTGTTTCCCCTTTTTAAAGTTGTGGTTGGACTTAATTAGTAATGTTCAGTATTTCACAAAAATGGTGAATGACATCTGAAAACTGGCTTTATATTTAATTTTATAGAACTGATTATGTGAATATGTTTAAAATATGGGGGAAATCCCTTCATTCTCTCAGAACCAAGCATGATTCACATTTGTTTCAATTTGTGTTCATTAGCCTATTAAAGGTTGAAGATAAGGAAGCAGTGTCTACTTTATATTTTTGTTGACCATGCCAATTTAATTAGAATTCCCTGTATCTAAAATGCTGTTCTTTCCTTATGGAAAGGCATTTTTAGTGTGGTTTACGTATGATATTAAATAAAGAATATTTAACACTTAAAAAAAAAAACAACAAAGACTAAAAGGAATTTCTGCCATTGGGAGCTCGGAATGTTTAGGGAAAAAACAAAACTCTAGTTCTGACCCCTTCTGAACCACATCATGAGCTACCCTCATCTATCTACTTGGTAGTCCAGTCTTATCTTGAGTTTTTGGAGGGGGTGGGTGGGGCAAGGGCCAGTAAGCAGATGCTCATGTGATGTAGCTGCCACAAGAATGCCACCCCCTCACAGATTCCACCAGCCAAGAGTCATGCCTAGGGATTAAGCATTCTCCATTCTTTTGAATTTCTTGGTAATTCAATGTTTTTAGAGGTAACACATTCACATGGTTCAAAAATCACACACACACACACACACACACAATTGGAAAATATCACTAGGCACACGTCTTACGCCTATGATCCCAGCACCTTGGGAGGCTGAGGAAGGAGGATCACAAGTTACAGGTC